TTCACCCGGGCAATGTCACAGCAGCTCTCCCCAGTGCCCCCCTCTCTCTCTCTCTCTCTGCAAAAAGAAAGGTGAGAGGCAGAGAGAGAGAGAGGGAGAGAGGGAGCGGTAGAAACGTTAAAACAGCTGAAAGCTGAAAACAAACTGAACTCTAGTCTGAAATCGACTCGAGCACAAGTCAAAAGCAAATAATAACAAGAAAAAACAGCTAGAAAATGTTTTAGAATACATCATCTAGAAGCAGAGATACCCTGTAATGTGACTTCAAGCTTATTGTTTGTCTTTGGCGGTTCTGTTTCTGTGTGTCTCGTATTTGACAGCATGAGCACTGATATGCATGAGTGTGTCTGACGTATGAGATACCCTGTAAATAGTCTATACAGACATTAGCTTCTGCTTAGCTTCTACTTTGTAAATCTAATCAGCTTTTAATTTATGTTTTATGTTTCTCTAATGAACTTTTGTACTTTTGTCTACCTGAGGATACCCTGTAAATAGATTATGTGAATTTATGGTGTGGTTGTTTGCTCTAAATGCAATTTTTTAAAGGTTTTTTTGCTTATTATATGTGTCTACAAAGAGATACCCTGTATAGAACATTTTCTATATAACTTTTATAATATTTTATTATGATCAGTTTTGCATAGATATAAACGAGAAAATACTCTAAAAGCGTATCACTTTGTATGTGTAGCAACATATACCTCTTTAATATTTAACTAGTTCTACAGGGTATATTGCAAAACATGCGCAGTTTTAAATTGTTTCAATTTCGATTGCCGCTTCGCAGGTGCTAAAAGCACAAACAAAAGAAGAAGAAAATTGCAAAAAAAAAAAAAAAGTGGAAGCAACAGTGTCGCTGTTGGCGCCGCCGTTGACGCCGACGTCGCTGTGACACAATTCGCTCCAAGCGGCGAATTAACGGCGCGCCGTGGTGCGACGCAGCGGCCGGCGAATCGCAGCTAGGCAAATCGCGATGCTCGCCTCGCGATTGCTTCTCGCCCACTTGGATGTGCATGCAGCCGAATTGAATTGAAACGGAATTGAAATGAAACTGAAATGAAATTGAAATAGTTATAAATAACAGCTGACGTCGAGAAGAGTTGCGAACGGCACACACACACACACACACACACACACACACACGATCAATTAAGAGGACAGTGCAAAACGGTTTTCTCGACGAATTGAACTGATTGTCAATGTCAAATGTCAGTTAAATGGCGAAACGGGCGACGCCAGATGGCGTGCCCTGGTGCATGGCGCTGGCAACAGGTGTCGCTGCTGCAGTGAGCCAAAGTTTATACTGCACGTCGGCTTATCGTTTCACATTCTTGGCTGATAAGCGGCAAGCGGTTGGCCGATTGCGGGTTTATCGTATGAGCAATGCGAAATTGAGGTCTGGGCGAGCGTTTTATCACTCGAGTGGGCAGATAAATGGGAACTTACTTAACGCTTAAGCGTGAGACAATATGCATGCAAGTTATGTTTAGTTAAAGGTTAAAGAAGTCACTAAAAAAATGAGAGTGAGTAGATCTATGTTTATCTAAGATTTCAGTTTGGGAAAACATAGAAAATCCGATTTTAATTCTATATAGTAAAACTAATGAGAATGTCACAAAATTCCATTTGGTAAAATATATATTTTAAAGCAGCCAGTGAAACGTTTACGAATATATAGAAACAGCAACAGTTATGATAAATATTATAATAACTAACAGAGTTAACGGCGAGAGGTAAATTTAAAGTCCGCTACACTTCAACTTTTGACTACATCAACTCAGTGCAGCCAGTGAAACATTTACGAACGTGAGAATAGGCCATAATACACACGCCTACACAGTGTTAACAAAATCAGTTACTTCCACTTCAATTGAAATCTGCTCAACAAGGTCACAGCACACGCCCACCCACTCTGATTGCGTCCCCTGTCTCCTCCGCCAACGCCTTCGCCTTCTTCTCCTTCGCTGCATTGCATCCTCTTCCGTCAACGTCGAATCGTTCGTTTCCTTTGCTATGGGGCACACTTGTTCGTGTCTTGGGGCATTTGACTCAATTAAATTTGAATCAATTTTAATTGCAATAGCAAAAAGATTTTTGTTTTCATTTTCGTTTTCAATTTTTTTCTGTTTTTTTTTTTTTTTTGGCAACAACAATTATATTGCATAGACGAAATATACAAAATATTGGCGACCTCCAAAGCTGACACGACAGCTAACAGAAAATTAACGAAAAAACGAAAAAATAAAAAGCAATTAAATAAAAAATAATAATTTATCAGTATTCGCAGCGAGCTCGCATCAGCATCAAATCTCGCATATGTCACGTCATCAGGCGCAGCAGCAGCAGCGCAGTCGGCGTCGCCAACGCCGTCAACAGGTTGCGACGAGGTGCGACGACGGCAACGACGGCGACGGCGGCGAATTCAACTGGTTATCACAAGCCGCTTTATAGAAATTACGTCATCTGGCGAATGTCGCTTGACGGCAAAGCGGCGTTTCAAGATGCTGACGCCGACGCCGACGCCGACGGCGACGCCAACTGAGGCTAAGCGATTGCCACGCGAACAGTTGTTCCTGGGCGAAAAGCTTTCGCTTCGCCTTGAAAGCCTTACTCGGCCTTCCTCGGCCACTTCGCCTTGATCGTGAAAGCTCAAAGCTTCAGTCAGAGGCAAATTGAAACTTTTTTTAAAATTTATTTATTTATTTGTGGAGTGAAAGTTTCGCTGCTGCTGTTGATTTCTGTATATCTCATATATCTTCAGGTAGAATTTCATAAATTTAGTCACCGGCTTTAGTGCTTATCTTGGCTGTCTGTCAAATTTGACAGTCAGTTAACACTTGGTTTGTTTTATTGGCATTGGATGCATTTGAAAATGTTTCTGAAACTTGTGAAGTGCATGTCAAAATTGACTGATATTACTTTTGACTATGTATAAATGTGTGTATTACTATTGTTATTACTATTATATATATGTACATACATATATGTATATTCAGTTTAGCTGTAGTAGTTCTAGCAATGCTTAACCATTTCCAGTAGGAAATCTTATAGAACATTTATATTGGAGGCCCCGAATATCGATTACGGAAATTGCTGAAAAGTTAGACAAGAGTTTTGTTTATTAGTAAAACAAACTTGAAATACAATTTATTACAAGTAGATATAGATATAGATAGTCTGGAAGTTATTGTTACTTAGTCTACAGATGAGCAAATATACAAATATAAATATACTCAAAGCACTCTAAGTTATTGGAGAAATATATAGAGAAACTGAGGCAATTGGCATTGAACTTGGGGTTTCTCTAGTAAACAATTATGGGAAATATGCAAAGCTTTGCGCTAGAAAGTAAAAATCCACTATAGATACATATTTATAGTCTATGACTTTAGGAAGTAACTGATATAACTGTCAAGTTCATTAGTTTTCTATAAATCGAGTGGAACTTTGCGCTTCAAATGATATGACAAGCAACTGGAGACAGTACGAATTACAAATTTGATTTATGATGTGCATAGTCAGTTGTATACCTACACCTATCTATATACATATATGGTATATATGAAGTTTTTTAATCTAAAAAAAAAATACTTTTTGCTATAAGCATCTAAATTTAAAACAGTTAACAAAGCTTTTGTTGTTGTTGTTGTTGCTTTGCTCTATTGTTGTTAATTTTGGCATATTTTCCGCTTTCGATTGTGTTGAGGTGGCTCGGCTTGGTTTTTGGTGGGTGATATCACCGCGCACCACCAACACCACCAGCACCACCAGCGAAACCTTTTGTCAATTTTGTTTGCGAATGCTCGAGCTGAGCAAATCTCTCGATTTGACTTAACTTACAGATAATCATCACGGTAATGACAATGACAATCATAATCATAATAATGCTAATGAATAATGAATCTAAATACTAATATGTATATATGGAAATTTTCAATCTGTTGACAAATTGCGAACTTCTGGTGCTTGAATGCAAATTCAGTCTACTACACTACCTAGCTGAAAACTTTTGTATACCCTATAGTTGATAAGACTGCGGGGTATATCAGTTTCTCTATGAGCAGTGCATGTGCAGAGGATGAAGAATGATGTGCAGGGGATTAAGTATGCCTATAGGGATTATATATGACTAATTTGAAGCCATAAAGATATCTAGTTCTATATAACTATCTATCTACACACCTGTATCTTTCTATCTATCCATATGTTCGTCCATCATAGCAACTTCGAGCTTTAAGTATTACCTTTCAAGATTTCCATGTCAGCAATGTCCATATAAATCAATCGATAACAAATTCTATTGGTATCAGTATAGATCCAAATAAAGGTAAACTTCGATACGTCTCTTGTTATCTAAAATGTATTACAAATGTACATAATTTACGGGTTTTAACCTATATTAAGAATTTTGATAATGCACCTTAAAGCAAAACCAAGCTATGCTGCTAATAGCTCGTCGTTTATAGATCATAGAGCTAACCTAACTATCGTAACTTGAGAGCTACTAAAGCTAACGCCCTGAAATTCGTCGCACAGAAGACCTACTAGATAAGGCCCGTAATAAAATAGATTTCATAGAAATTAGCAAAGTTATATATATAGACTATGCACTGTACAATTTATGATATTATGTCAGAACTTTTTAGGAATCACTCAAGCAAATTATAGTGAAATTGAATCTGAATGTGGGCAAATGAAGTGTTGTTACACATAGGCTAATGCAAATATACATACATATGTATAGCTATATATATGTATATATATGAATGTAAGTCAGTTAAAGTCAGGTTTTTTTGTTTTATTATTTTATGTACGCCAGCTAATTGGCGAACGAGACGAGGCGTCCAACGCGTCCATAAAAGGCGCAGTTTCGCCTCAACGTGAACAGCGCGTGGGCCACAGTGAGCCGGTTCAATTAGCCCAAGGACGTCTCTCTCTCTCTCTCTCTTTCTCTCTCTTGATACACATATACTCTATATATACACTCTATATTGCAGTGGCAGCAATCGGAGGATAGCGAACGCAAGCGGCAAATCCGTTCGCATCTTTACAAGTTGCGTGAATCGCGTTTGAGAAATCTCTATAGACACGAACCGGATAATCTAACGTTTGCGATGTCGGAACCGAATGGTAATACTCTATCTGGTTATGCTGGCAAAGATCCGCTGGCCACCAGCCACGGCGATGCGCTGCTCGATCAGAACTTTCAGAGTCTCAAGTCGAAGGAGGTGCGCGACTCGATGAGTCCCACGCACGAGCTCAAATTCCATTCGATGAGTCTGACCCAACCGAATAGCACCGGCTGGGATGTTCAGACCTCGTCGGAGGTGAGTCCCGATGGACGTGCCTATCGCACCGAAACTCTGGCCAAAACTGATGGTAAGCCAAAGCATTTCAATTTTCGATTTAGTAATACCCTGTACCCAGTGCAAATTATTGTCAATGGAGATCTAAACACGTCCGACCGATTGCATAGAGCGGCAGTATCTGGTGAATCGTGCCGACTACATTAATCGATATACGTACATTCGATAGTTATCGATCGGTATTGCTTATTTCCGTTATTCAATTAGATATTTTGGAGATGCTATGGGCTTTACGCTCATGTAGAGATTCTAACAAATATCGATAATTATCGATATTAACTTCCTGCAGTCTCAGGGTTTCTTCGATAGTTTCCGTTTATTCAATTATATATTTTAGAGATGTTATGGGCTTTACGCGCATATAGAGATTCTAGCAAATATCGATAGTTATCGATATTAACTTCCTGCTGTCTCAGGGTTTCTTCGATAGTTTTGGGCTTTACGCGCATATAGAGACTCTAACAAATATCGATAGTTATCGATATTAACTTCCCGAAGTCTCAGGTTGAGTTTTTAGGCTTATTACAGGGTATATTGGGTCAATAGAACTCCATAGAAGATTGCTGAGAGATAGATTGATTGATTTAAAGCATAATGCATATGTGTATATATCGATATATCGATATATGTACTTAACTAATTCAAGATATATACACACATGCGTGTGGCTGGGTACAGGGTGTCTGCTAGTCGGTCACTCACGACTTCTAACATCAATGTGTTTAACTCTGTGTGTAACTCCTGCTCTGTTTGTTTGTATGTCTCTGTGCCGTGATCAACCCAAAATACCTAACTCAAACCCCACCAACTCGTACCGCCACGATCCACTCATGCGATAGGTGTTGAGAAGCTGAATGGTGGCGGCATAGCCGAATTCAAGGGCCGCAACGAGCAGCGCTCGAGCGCCTCACATCAGGGCGACGATAAGAACTACGTGAAGCAGGCGGCGGAGAGCTCCAATACCCATCTGCAGGAGAAGGTTGTCTTTGGCGATGAGAGCAACGGTGGCCGTACCGAAATGAAAATGAGCTCCACCTCATCCTCGTCGACCTCCAAGTTTGTGTCCTCCTCAACCGTTGAGTACGGCAATGATGATGTCGCTCAGCCGCGCTATTTGCTGGACAATCAGAGCACAAATCGCCAGCAGCGAGAGCAGCGTGAGCAGCGTGAGGTGCGTGAGGTGCGTGAGCAGCGGGATCGTGAGGAGCAGCGTGTGAAGGAGGAACGATTCCAGGAGCATCGACTGCAACAGCAGCAGGAGCAAAGGGAGCAGCGGGAACAGAGGGAGGAACGCTTCTCCGAGAGCCGTGAGCAATTGAAGAGCACACGCAACGTGGAGACCCAGCAGCATTACGAGGAGAACAAACGCTATGTGGATATGGACAAGGCATCGCCCGAATATCAACGGCATGTGCAGCACCTGATGTCACAGCCAGGCGAGATCATCTCCAATACGGTTGAGTATCCCAAGCCGAATGTCAAAATGATTACCACGGTCAAGCGTCTGCCGGACGGCACAATTGTCAAGAACAAGCGCTACGAAACAGAGCAGGTAACTCCCTCCCAGACCCAGACCCAGACGCAGACCCAGACACAGACCCAGACTCAGACTCAGAATAATCAGCGACGCGTGCAGGAGACACGCGACGTGGTGGACAATGCTGAGCCGTTGGTGCGTCGCCCCTCCGAGACGGCCGAGGAGCTCGTCAAGCAGGAGAGCTACTCGACTGTGAAGAAGTCAAGTCGTCGCTACTCCACGGAGACCACATCGGAAACCGTGCAGGAGTACGATGATCGTGCACCACGGCCGCAGCACGGCCGTCCGGAGGGCACTCCAGCCGCACGGGCAACGAATCCCGTACAGGAGTTCCCCAACCATCGTCCCAGCACGCCGAATCGCTCCAGCGATTTCTCGACACACGGCTTCCCCTCGGTGCGGGGCAACAAGCCCACGCAGGAGTTTGCCGGCCAGCGACCCACCACCGAGGAGTACGTGGTGGTGAAGTCGGAGAAGAGTCGCAACGTCAAGCAGAGCAGCAGCAGCACCTCGCAGCGCACCGTCGAAACGGAATTCGAGCCCAGCTGGGAGCAGCCACAGAGTCCGCGACGTCCGACGCATGTCGAGGATTTCAGCACACACGGTTTCCCCTCGGTGCGCACCGACCAGCCGGACGCGGAGCTGCCCGCCAGCCCGAGCCGCCGGCCGGAGCGCATCATTGAAACGCAGGTGGAGCGCGAGCGTCGCCCTCAGCAGGTGAACGCCAGTCCGAGGCGCCCGCAGCAGGACACGGCGACAAAGTCGCCGACTCGCAAGCCCAGCCGCAGCACCACTGAGACCACAAGCACCGCCAACACAGTGACGCGCCGCCAGCTGCAGAAGGAGCGGGAGGTGGATGCAGCGCATCGCGCGTTCGCCGCCTCGCTGCGCAGCAGCTCGCCAGCCGACAGCGTTGGCTCCACGGGCTCCCACCATCCACGGCGCGACAGCGGCCAGACGCCGGAGCCGCATGCGCAGCGTCAGGCGCCGCGCTGGAGCATCTCGTCGAGCAGCACCAATCGGCGCTCGGGACGCGAGGGCTCCCACGACAGTCATGCGCCCTCCGAGTCCAGTCGCATCAGTTCCACCACGGTCACGCGACATGTGGGCGTGCCCAAGACCATTGCCAAGACAACCGTTAGCAAGCAGCAGCAGCAGCAGCAACAACAAACTGTTGTCAAGACACGCAGCGTGCAGGGATCGAGTGAGACGATTGATCTGACGCCGCAGCGTTTGCCCAAATCGCCAACAGCAAAAACAACAACAACGACAACGACAACGACAACAACAACAACAACGATTGGCAATAAGCCAGCAACACCAGCAACACCAACAAAGCCAGCAACACCAACAACTCCAACAACTCCAACAACTCCAACAGCAACTTCAGTTCCAGCTAGCGAGCCGTCTCCTGTGACAGGTACGAATTAGACCAAGAAAAAAAAGAAAACGAAAAAAACAAGAATATATATATATATATACACACACATACAACCAATACAAATACAACACACACACATACACATACATACATACCAACATAATATCTATTATTTTCGGAAATATCTATGTATATGAATGTATCCTTCAGATAACCAATCACAGTATACGTATGCTACTACTAAGCCAGACGATATATTCTCTTTGCCACCTACCAAACCTACAACACCTATTATTAACAACAACAACAACAACAACAACAACAATGAAACTACAACAACAACAACACTAACAACCAAGAACAACAAACCCTCAATCTCAACACCAAACGACGAATTGTTAACTAAAACCAAGCTGAGCTCAATTGAGGCAACAACAACAACAAACCCAACAACAAACCCAACAACAACAACAACAACGAGCGCCGTACACGAACCACCCTGTGTCCGTCGCACTTACTACAAGCTGGGCCCAGCCGCTGCGACAGACGAGGCCGACATAGCCAAGGCGGTAACAAGTACTGAGACCGTTGGTAAGGCCTAAAAAAAAAAACAGAAAAAAATACAACAACAACACACAAAACAACCAACAACAAACAACAAACAAAACGTGCAACTATCTTCTCCAAACCCAAACAACAATTTTAATATATAAAACCTACCTTAATTAACTACACTTGATAAATACATATATGCATATATATATATATATATACTATCTATATACTATATACATATATATTTTTTTTGGATCTTTGCTAATAAAAATTATTTAAAATACTATAAAAATACACAAAAAAAAAAAAAATATATAAAAAAAAACTGCGAATGTGCTATGTTCTATGTTCTGGAAATACACCTACACACACACACCTATACACCTACACACACACACACACACACACACCTACACACACACACCTACACACACGTACAAGTATTTGCTGGGTGGGTTAGCCAAAAAACTAACGGTAATACTAAAACATGTAGACAGCTCTTATGATTGTTGTACGGTAAAGTCTGCCGTACCGTACCCCGTGCCTATTAACTCCATATAAGAATTTTATACGCCTGCCTGCCTGCCTGCCTGACCTAACACGCCTGCTCGCCTGCCTCAACTACCAAGCTAATACCGTAGTGCTATTAACCAACTACCAATATGGAATAGCCGACGCGTTGAGCTCTACCGTAGCCGTAGCCGTAGCCGTAGCCGTAGTCGTCACTAACCACCTCTGTCTCTCTAATAACGTAGCGATTTGAGCACTATATCACACACCACGCACTCGAACGCAACGCGGTCCTTGAGCGTGGCCTCTATGATTCCAAAAAGCAAAAAAAAAAAAAACAAAACAACCCCCCCAATTCCCAGCAGCAGCCATGCCCAGCAGCAAGCGAAGCCCCCATGCACCCAGACCCAACGTACCGGATGAAGATGACGATGTGCCAACTGTAGCTAGGCGTAGCTCCAAATCGCCCAGCATCGAACGACGCCAATTGCAGCGAGAAACCACATTTGAGACAGACGTAGAGCGTGCCTATTCGCCGGAGCGCTACGCCCGCATCGATGACCAGATTGTTATCGACGAGAGCAGCTTGGAGGTCAGGCAGCGTCCCTTGGAAGGCGGCGATAAGCCCCGGGAGATACCGGCCACATTTGCGTCGAGGCCCAAAGAGTCGCCTCGGCAGAGTCCCGAGAAGCAGTTGCCCTCGCCGCGCGCCCTTAGCCCCGAGAGGCAACCGGCTGCTCGGCCACGCTCGGTTAGTCCCGAAAAGCAGCTGCCCAAAGAATCGCAGCCTCAACTGCCAGGTTCGCTTCCATCAAAGCCGAAAGAATCAGCATCGAGGCCAACGTCTCGTCAGACTAGCCCCGAAAAGCAAATGCCCTCTGTTAAGCCTAAGGACTCGCCACGTTGGAGTCCCGACAATCAATTGTCCTCAACGGTGGTTAGGGATTCGTGTCCTGACAATCAGTTACCCGAAACTCTGACTAAGGAACTTCCGAAAGAAACGCCTCGTTCGGGCAGCCCTGAAAAGCAATTGCCTAGCTCGCCGAAGCCCAAAGGCAATGAGCCCGCTGATGAGCCGCGCTCAGCTCCAGCCGAGCCTAGAGATGGTGGCAAGCCGAGCCCCGACGACAAGCAGCAGCCCACTCAGTTCCCAGAGGACGAGTTCTTCAAGAGCACTGTGACCCAACGAGTAACTAATACAACGAAAAATTTCAATGACGAATTTATAACAAACGAACGCCAGCATCAGCCACGCAAGCCGGAGGAAATTCCAGATAAGAACAAAGATATGATCGATAGACCTAGCTGTAAGCCAGCTTCACGTGAGTCACCCGAGAGGCCGGATGGCGGCTTCATATCAAAGAGCCCAGAGCCGGAGGAAGACCAGAAGCCCACCTATCGCAAGAAGGGTCTGACACGTCGCGAGACCTTTGAAGATCGTTGTCGCAAGATCCTGGGCATGGAGGAGGATGGCGATACGCAGGGCAGCTTTGTGCCAAAGCCCGAGCAGGATGATGATGACACTGATGAGCAGAGAACAGAAACGTTGGCCAAGAAGACGGAGACTTTTGAGTTTAAAATCGAGGACTGCCCCGACGACGACGACGAGGATGATAAGCCCAGGCGCGTGACCGAAACGTATGTCATACGCACGCAGCCTGTCATCAAGGTAGATGAGCCACTGTCGGAGCCAGAGACGGTGCAGATCACTGAGACGACGGAAATCGAAACAGTGGTTAGCACAGAGAAAACGATTGGCGAACAGAGATCCGTGCCTGCGGGTGTAGATGCACCACGCCCTGTCGGAGGCCGTAAGCCTAAAGATGAGGTAGAACCTAGAAGCCCCAAAGATGATGCGGAGCTGGTTAATGTAGAAGAAGAGACGACAACAATAACAACGAATCGTACGTCCATGTCGCCTAAGGGTCCTCTGCCCAAGGATGAGGTAGAGCCACGTTCCACATCTGGTAAATGGCCAAAGGACGAGGTAGAGACACTTCCTAAGAATGCCAAACAGCCCAAGGATGAGAAACCACAACGTCCCTCGTCTACCCGACTTTCCAAGGACGAGAGCGAGCTCATAAATGTGGACGAAGAGACAACCACAATCATCACGAAGCAGTCAAGCAGGTCGCCAACACTTGATCGTAAAGCGCCTCTGCCTAGCTCGGAAGACGAGGACGAGCCAATATCGAAGGATAAGACATCGCCACGCTCTACGCCTGGCAGATGGCCCAAGGATGATGCAGAGTATATAAATGTGAAAGAAGAAACAACTATCGTTACCACTCGCCAGGAGCCTTTGCCCGATACAGAGGACGAGGATGAGCCACGTCCAAAAGCAAGTGGAAAGCCTAAGGCGAAGCATCCCAAGGATGACGCAGAGTTTGTCAATGTTGAAGAGGAAACAACAACTGTCACAACGAAGCGAACGTCAAAGACTCCCACACGCAAAGAGCCCATGCCCCATCCAGAGGATGATGACGAGCCGAAACAGCCCAAGTCGAAGGAGCCAACGGGTAGACAGCCAACAGATGAATTCAAGCCACGTCCGACACCCAATTACTACTCCAAGGACGTTGAGTTTATCAAAGTGAGCGATGACACGACCATAATCATGACAAAGCGCCCGGCCAAGTCGCCATCGCCCACACGCAAGGACTATTCGCCTTATCCAGATGAGGAGCCTACAGCTAGGCAACCCACAACTGGCAAGCAACCCAAGGATGATGCTGAGTATATAAGCGAGAAGACAACTGTGGTGCTAACTAAACGTCCTTCCAAGTCGCCATCGCCCACACGCAAGGAGCCCGTGCCACAAACTGAGACAAAACACTTTGTGACCGAAAAGATAATCGATTGCAATGGCAAGACCGTCTTGGAGAAGATCAGCAAGACTCAAAGACCCACGGGACCCGCCTCGTCGCCCAAGACGAAGAAGCAGCCCTGCGATAGCGAGCCAGAGGAGGGTAAGCCCAAGCAGCCGGACTCCAGGAAACCCTCGACTAGCAAGATCGAAACCGAGCGACGTAATTCACGCACCACCAAGACCAGCACCACCACCAACAAGCAGCCTGTGAAGGAAACCCAGCCCAAGGCAGTGAAGAGTCCGCGCAAGGAGTCGCTGCCCAAGCGAGAGCCTGCCAAGCGCGATAGCCTGGTGGAGGAAACACGCACTACCTCCACTACCTCCACAGCAAGCACTACCATTCGCAAGGATCGAAAGCCCAGTGATGGTAATATCAAGGATCGCTTGCGCTCGTCGCCTCGCAAACAGAAACCTCAAACGGACGACGTGGACGGAGAGTCGTCCTCGCCGGATACGAGCCCCACGCGTATTCCCAGCGAGCGTCGTCGCTCGAGCAACATCTCAGTGCACACTGAGATCATCATAGATCATACAGCGCCCAAGACGCCGTCGCCCAAAGCCGAGCGCAAAGTGACGCCCAAGGCTGCAGCAAGTCCGCTGCGCAAGCTGCCGGTGACGGAGCGCAAGGAATCGGCGCCAGTGCCGCGCGTTACCCGTCGCGACAAGGACAAGGTGACCCGATCCACCAGCGAGAATGTCATCAAGGTGGTCAATGGCAAGCCCAGGCCAGCACAGCCCGAGATGAGCAGCTTGAATCCGAGCTCGGCTCAGAGACCCAACACAGATCGCAATCGGGCCAGCAAATGCTTCACCACGCGAACCATCAACCTCAGCGAGCAGCTGATTAATAGCGAGGACATGGAGGATGTCATCATTGATATACAGCAAGCGAAGAGCTCTAGGGAGCCATCGCCGGATCGCATTGTTCCGACACCGGTTCCAGCTGAGGTGGAGACGGGCAAGCCGCGCTATCCCGACACTGTGCAGGAGCCGGACGACGAGCCGCGCAGGAAGCCCATTGTCACGAATATACCCATCTTTGAGGAGGAGGCCAATGCCTATGTGGGCTGTCAGATATCCGAGCTGCGCAATCCGAATGGCATCGAGGCGGACATCCACGACAATCCCACCGTGGAGGCGCCAAAGAGTCTGGACTATGCAACAGCCAATCCAAGCAATGGACAGCCTGGCATCGACGTGGACGAATGCCTGCTGAGTGTACACGAGAAGGTGACCAAGTTCACCCACACCGCCGAGCAGGTGAAGCAGCCGAAATCCTCGACACCCTTTAGCCGCCAGTTCGATGAGCATGCCAAGGTCTCGGCCAGCGATGAGTGCTTGCTGAGCATTGACGAGAAGGTGGATCGATTTTTGAAGACCGCCGAGAATATAACCAAGCAGCCGTTGAGCACGCCCACGCGCGAAATCGAGCGCCCCAGCTTTGAGGACATCGACGAGGAGCTGCGCCAGGACGACTGCATACTGAGCGTTTCGCAGAAGGTGCACAAGTTCATTGACACCGCCGAGAAGCTGGCGCCAAGTGCACCACAGAAGTCGCCGCGACTGGTGGCCAACATCGAGCGCCACATCTCGCGCCAGAGCGAGCCGGAGCTGGATCAGGAATCGGAGCCGGAGCAGCCCTCGGATGTGGAGCCAGATGATGAGCTATTGCCCATGTCGAAGCACCACACAACAGCCATTGAGCTGAAGCGCCAGAAGGACATACTCAATCGCCCCTCGGTCTTCAATCAGCGCAAGCCAGCCACGCCCAACGGCAACAGCAAGCCACGCGGCACCGCCAGTCCAAGCACAACACTCATAACGGAGGAACGTAAATCGTATCGCAATCAGAGTGCGCCAGCCTCGAGTCCGGGTGCACGTTCGCCAACGCGCAGCACCGCTGCACCACGCAAACCCTCCTTGGAGCAACCACGCGGCAAGCCAAGCGAACCGGAGCGCAGCAGCAGCAGCAGCACCACCAAGCGTAGGGAGCATATAACGGAGCAACAGTGGGTGATCAGTGACGTGGACGTGGATGTTGAGGAGGTGGGTCCGGCTCCACCTTCCCACAGCGCCAGCCCGCAGCCAACAGCGCCAGGCCGACGTCCAACCACCAGCAGCACCGCCAACGTAACAAAGTCAACTCCACGCAGCTCCACTGCACCACGCAAGCCTTCGCTGGAGTCGCCGCGTAGCAAACCGAATAGCGAGCAACCTAAAGAGACGGAGACCGGCACACGCCGAGCCACCAGCACCACTAGCACCAGAACCACAATCAAGCGTGCCGAGCAGTGGGTGCACAGTGATCTTGATGTGGATGTTGAGGAGTATGAGCCAGTGGGTCCAAAGGGCGCATCGCCTAGCAGACGCACCACCACTGCCACCACAAAGACAACCACACGCAGTGCTGCTGCACCACGCAAGCCCTCGCTCGAGTCGCCACGCTCCAAGCCAAGCCCGACCACCGATGAGACTGCAGAGACCGAGACAGATACACGCCGCACCACCAGCACCACCAAGCGTGGCGAGGAGTGGTTGCCAAGTGATGTGGATGAGCTCAACCACAGTCCCAGGCATAGCCACAGTGGCAGTCCACGTCAAATGTCGCCACAACGACGCACCGCCACCACCACCAAGCCCGACAGCACCACCAATTCGAAATCCACCGTAGTTAAAGCGAGCACTGAGCACAGCACCACCAAGCATACAACAACAACAACAACCAATCGAACCCATAGCCCAACTAACCAAGCTCCCCTTGCCAGCTCCCCTGACACTGAACCACACGTTGAACCACTTTTAGACCGCAGCCGCCCCACCCATCAATCATCGCCCGGACGCACCGTCGCCTCACGCCGCAACATCTTTGAGAAGCATTCGCCCAGCCCCACCACCACCGGCACCACCAGCACCACTGCTGCCACTGAGCCGAGCGGACGTCGTCCCTCCTACATGGATCACACGAAGAGCTCCCTGGAGCACATTCGTCGCGATTCGCTGGAGATAAACAAGACGCATTATTCCCGCAAGTCCTCGGTGGAGGATGAGACAATGCTGGAGCCGCGCAATCCGAATGCGGCCGTTAAGTTCGATGTGCCGAAGCGCGGCTCACGGCCCGAGACGGTGCGCACCACCACCAGCAGCAGCACCACCGATGAGCTGGAGATTGAGGAGATCTTCGATCTGCAGACGCTGGAGCAGCTGCTGGAGACGGTGAGCAGCTACGAGCTGCGTCGACGCATTCGCGCCCAGATACGTCTGATCAAGAAGAACATGATCAATGCGAACAGCAGCACCACCATCACCACAACCACCATAACGACCAAGGGCAGGCAGCCAGAGCAGCTGCAGCCGAGAAGCCAAAGCTCGACGCCCAGCCGCAGTCCGATGCCAGTGCGCCGCATGCCGGAGCAACCGCAACGTGAACGCAGCCAGAGCCCGGAGGTGAAGGGCAGCACCACCACCAGCAGCACCACAACGACCTGTCGTCGCACTGAGCAGCTGGACAGCGGCAAGCCGCCGGTGAAGCCTCGTGATCGCAGCGCCAGCCCAGTGCAGGCGCCTCGTCGTCGCAGTCCAACGGGCAAGTCCTCGACCACGACAACAACAACCACCACACGCACCACCAAGCAGGGCAAGCTCAATCCGAGCGAGAAGTCGAGTCCCATTTGGGCAGATCGTAGCAAGGTGTTGCGAGCCTCTGGCTCTGCTTCGCCCACGCCGCGAAAGGGCTCCAACACCAGCACCACGAGCACCAGCAGCAGCAGCCGAGTGATGCGCAGCAGCAACACCACCAGCAGCAGCAGCAGCACCACCACCACCAGCAGCAGCAGCAAGCGACGCGAGGAGGACTCCATTACGTCCAGCTATGGCGTCGGCCCAACCGATGAGAATGGACTGCCCCTGTTTGGCATTAGGGCGCTCAAGAAGAAGACGCAGCCGCCGATGGAGAAATGTGAGACAAAGCAAGGTGAGTAATGGAGTAATGAGTGGTGCGGTGGTTGCACAACAAAGTCTAACTCTACCTCGCTCTCCCTCCCACTCTCTCTCTCTCTCTGCACAGAAGTCACAGGCTATGTCATCGAGGAGCAGTTCTATTCGGACGACAAGTCGCCGCCACGTCATGAGCGCAAGGAGCTCATCTATTCGAGCAATCCGGATGAGCTGGTAACGCTGCAGCAGCAGCTGGACACCGTCCAGCCTTCAGATGGGCAGAGGACAAAGTTGGAGCGCGAGGTGAAGCTGATCGATGTGCAGGGCATGCCCGCGGCCATTGAGCCGCCGTCGGGCAAGCGACGTGGTTCGATAAAGGAGCTAAGCGAACGTTTCATACAGAAGGAATCGATGCTGGCCGACGAGGAGACGGAGGACAGCGAATCGAACGATGTGTGCAGCGTCATTGAGCTGGAGGCGCCGCAGATGCGTCAGCATCAGCAGCAGCATCAGACCAGCAGCACCACGCGCACCAGCTCCAGCACACGCTCCTTCCTCAACACCAGCGGCGAGGAGCGAGCTGTGAGCAGTGTCGACGATGTCCTCGAACGCATGCGCAATGCCGACAATGGTGAGTGCTCCAGCATCGCCAGCGAATCTCCAGCGAATCTCTGATCAATGTCTTCTTCTTCAATGTCTTCCTCTTCACGCAGTGGTGGAGCCCGGCGACAGCGCCGAGGATCGCGAGGCACGTGCTCTGCTCAACAAATTCCTTGGCGCCAGCGTCATCATGCAGGGCGTCGAGTCCATGCTGCCGGCGGGCCAGCGACAGCAGCCGCTGTCGAGGGGCAGCATCGGCAGCAACAGCAGCAGCAGCCAAGCGGTAAGTGATCTAGACCCAGAGATACCCTGTAATGAAATTTATGAAAATTACTTTGTAGCTTAGCCTCAAGCATAGTTGAATAGCTGCTCGTCCAGGCTTTAAAAATTTCTATATTATTTATATTCCTGACTACAAAATACCCTGTACATGCATTAATATGAAATATATGACATGTTTTATAGCTTAGCTTTATATAAGTATTCAATTTAATGTCAGCTATAAGACATCCTATATTGCTTATGATCACGAGTCACGACTTCTTAATACCCTGTTAAAATTCGCTCACTATGGAACTGACTTTGTGCTTAGTTTTAATTGAAAACGAGCGCAAGAAGCAAAGTTCTTGCTATTCCAGACTATTAAATACCTTGTATTGCTGATAGTCTAGACTAGAATATACCCTATACTAAACATAAGTTTCTAGCTTCAAGTAAATATGTGATCCAGTCTAAACTCCAAAATATCTGGTACTACAAAATACCCTATGAGAATTGTCTTGCAGAGTATTGCATACCCTGTATGATGTCTTGACTAGAATATATGCTTTATTCACCTGCTTTTATAGAGTTGCTGAGACTAACTTTCTTGGTTAGCCTCTACTGGAAAGTAGAGTTGATCAATTATTTTCAATGGCATTTCCAATAGACAAACAATTTCCATATTCAGAGTTCATTGTCCTCTCACTTATGCGACCGGCCAACATAATTTGCTAATTAAACACAGGGTATGCCCAAAGCTCAGTTGATCCCTTTTTGATGGACAGCCACAAAAAGCAGAATATAAAACCAAAAAAGAAATGAGAGAAAAAAAAAACAAAAACAAAAAAAATAAAAAATAAACATCAAATGTGCAGGCCCATGGCCCACGGCCCACGGCCCACGACCCACGGCCCACGTGTGCGATCAGCCATTGTCTATGCGCGCTCGCTCTCGCTCTCGCTCTTCCTCCTGCTCCTCTGCGCTCATTCGCTCATTCGCCGTTAGCTTTTGCGCTCACCGCTATGCGCGCGCGCGCTCTCACGCTCTGTTGCCCTCTCTTTCTGCTGCGCGCACTCTCTCGCTTTGAGTATGTGTGTGCGTGTGTGTGTGTGTGTGTGTGCTGCTGCTGCTGCCGCTCTCTTTTAGTGCCGTGTGCCGCGTGCGTGATGTGATGCGCGCTTCTGGCCAGGAACGGGAATCAGCCGTCGCTTTGGCCATTGCCATCAGCGCTGCCAGCGTCGCTGCCAACGTCACCGTCAACAGCTGCCATCGTCATCGTCTGTTGGCCATTTCAGTACAAACTCAGAGGCGGCATCGATCACTTGTGCGACTTGTGTTCCCGATCATAAAAACACAAACAAAACCACGACGAGACGAGACGAGACCGAGACCGAGACACACCGACGAGGCGTGAGGAGAGAGAGAGGCTAGAGAACTCACAAAAATTCTCAAAGTGCAAACAAAATTTTCAAAATATTCAAAAGTTAATGCAAGCAAATCTAAAGTAAAAAAAAAAAATTAAATAAATTAATAATACAAAAATAAAACAAGAGAAGCAGAGAAGCAACCAAAGAAGGCAACAAAAGACAAGTTTTTGTTGTTGTTTTTGTTATTTATGAATCTTCTGCAACTAGCTCTTCCTCTTGCTCAGCAACTCGTCGTTGTTGTTGTTCTTCTTGTGTGCAGTTGAGTTTTTTTTTCCGTTCTTTTTTTCACAAACGCTGTTGTTGTTTTTATTACGACTACTATTATTATTACTATTGTCGTTGTTGTTGTTGTAATGCGGTGAACGGTTGCAGTCGAGACGCGAGTGTTTAACCAACTTTGGTCAAAGCGGCTAAAAGAGGAAGAAGAAGAAGAAGCAGCAGCAGTAGCAGTAAAAGAAGCAACGGCGGCAGCAGCGACAGCGACAGCGGCAGTGGCAGCGGCAGCAAACAGCGCGTAAGTGTGAAAGGGTATGGGGCAAGAGAATGAAGAAGAACATGACGGGAACTGCGGGCGATAGAGGGAGACAGAGTATGTCGTGTCTTTAGCCTAGCTAAATTCATTGGAATTGGCAGCTGTTGAAAAAAATTAGAAATAAAATAGAGGAAAAGGAAAGAATTAAAGAAAAATAGAACATAAATTCTAAAAAATATGAGAAAATCTAAATTGTAAGAATATGAAGAGAATTTAAAAAAGGTGGGAAAATTAAATCTGTAAAAATGTGAAATAAATATCATAAATATTTATGGAAAAATAAAATATTTAAACTATTTCAATTATAGGAAAAATTAGAATATATTTGAAAAAAATAAAATAAATAAATAAATGTATAAAAATAAAGAAAATAAAAAAAAATCTCAAATAAATTGGATAAAATCTGGAAAATAAATAGAAACATATTGATAAAATTATTGAAAATATAGAAAATAGAGCTTATATATATTTCGCTAATAGAAAAAGAATAAAATTTTTGTGGTTTAAAATTGAAGAGGAAAGTAGATGGAAAACTAAAAAATACCCTGTAGTTATTAGCTCGGAGCTCATTGAAAATGAAAAGTCTTGGCATCATGCCAGTGCAGTTCAGTTACTTAGACGTGCTCCAAGAATTTATCGAATATCGCGTTAAAAATTGGATTATTACATATGTATATATCATTATATATGTATGTATACTAGAAACTTGTAACACTCGGTCTGATAGCCTAAAATCAATATAATATGTATGGTATACATATAGAAAATTTAAAGGGAGGGAGGCGTGGCAAACCGGTAAAAATGTCTGGCAGCAGTGAATGAGTATTCGGCAGTCGGTAAGGCCCGACTGCAGTGCTCTTACGTGTTTTTTTCCCCCCAAAATTTTTCTTTATTTTTCAATTATTTTTGGTGCGCGTAATTTGTGGCAAGAATTTGCTGTCACGACACCTCAAAATGCACCTGAAAAGCAAAATGTGAACGACAAGCGTTGTCTATATTAATAAACACACGCACACACACACACATACATATAGTGTATATATAACATATGTATATATGCATAGAGGAGACAGCTAAAGATACAGCTAGAAAGGCTAGAAAAGCCAAGCATTTGCCCAGCCTGACAAAGTGACAAAAAAAATAAAAATAAAATAAAAATAAAAATAAAAAAAAAGAATAAACAGAGAATAAAACAAGACAAACTAAATGAAAATAGAAATAAATAAATAAATTTCAAAGCACAAGCAGGTGGAGCTGTGGGACGCCAGCGAGGAGGCTTTGTAGGGGCAGCGACTGAAGCTGCATGAATGAGAGCGCAAGCGTACGGAATATTTCAACAAAAATAGCGCAACGATGGCACTATTTATACGGACGGAACGCTGTCTCATTTTGTTGGAGCGCCCAGTGGCCAGATACAGATGCAGATACAGATACAGATACAGCAACAGAGATTCGAGATAGAGCTAAAGATACACACAGCCACAGGCTGGCACATACATAGATACGGCTGCAAATGGACTGTGCACATTGCAACGTGCGTGCCGCAGTGGCCTGTTTTTTTTTTTTATTTTTTGTATTTTGTTTCTGTTCAACTTGTGCACCAAATACCATCCATGCTTTCTATGTAGAGTGTGGCACGAGTCGCACACACTGCGGATGCCTGGCATAGCCGCAAAGTATCTGAGTGCGGCGGCTTATCCGCCGCAGATATGCTAAAGCAACGCAAAGTATCTACAAGTTTGCTGTATGCATTCACACCAGAAAGATACAGAGTAGGCGCAAGTAGCATCCACTGTGGCATAGACTCTATAGATACCAAAAACTATCTTGAACAAGCTGTTCCACCAGCTAAAGATACAAAGTATCTGCAATGAAATCAGACTAGGCATTACAGAGTTATATCTTGTATCTTTTGTGTATAAAAGTATCTAAAGGCTCCAAGTATCTGACCGTCCAACTTAAGGAGCTCAACTCTGTTTTTCTCAGTCTGCAGATAGAATCTAATCTAGCTAACCAAAAGTATCTCAATCTTATTTACTACAAGTTCCACGCAAAGTGCTTGTAGATTAATTAAGATACCAGCGAACATTGTCTGGCAGTCTGCCTCATATAAATGCCGCATACAATGCATCCATGTGTCATAGTTACAAGCACCTACAAGTCGGCTGCAAAGTATCTCAAACTGCTTATCCAAGTATCTGTGGCAGCTAGCCAGAAAACAAATCGAAAAATTGTAAATTTCCCTGAAATACACGCATTAGATACATGTATCTAAATGGTGTGCATCAATGTATCTTGCAGTTTAACAAAAAGTAGCTCAAGCTGTTATCAAGATAAGCTTTCATTTCTTCTTTCATCTATAGATCGATTGGAATATCGAATCATAAACGTTTTAGATACAAAAGTATCTCAATGTAATAACGCTAGAAGTAGCCGCTAGATAATGTATCTTGCGCACTTTGAGATACAATATTATCTCAAGAATAATGTAGATGGATATAATGTATCTCGAAACTCTATTCCACATACCAATGCAATGTATCGCAATAGATATATTTGCAAATCATTACAAAAGTATCTTATATCTATGATTATCTGAAAAGTATTTCGATGTGTCAATGCTGTTAGATATTCGCGAGATACAGATACAATGTATCTCAATGTTTTACACACATTAAATAAGTATCTCATAGAAAAGTATCTTAAACTACTAATGTAAACTACTATTGTATCTCACACTCTTCTCTGGTAATAGATACAATGTATCTCGATCTTTGACAGACTTGGACACATATCTATCCACTGCTAGTTACTTTCAGTCTGTCGTAGCTAGATAAACCCCTTTGCCCATCTAACGTTTTCTCTTCGTTTTTATTGGGAAATGTTAAATGCAATTTGTTTTTGTTTGATGTTTTGTTGCGCCGTTTTGGTTCATGGTTCGGTTCCGAACCGGTTCTCCTTTAATTGCTTGTGCGAGTCATTCGAGCGCAACATGTTTATAATAATATATTTTTTTTTTTGCAGCAGCAGCAGAGGCAGCGGCAGAGGCAGAGGCAGAGGCAGCGGCAGCGTCAGCTACTGTTTCGCTGTCGTCGCTGGCTTCCTCTAGCCCCATTTCCCGCACAATTTCTAGTAAAATAGATGGAGCAGAGGCAGCAGAGGCAGTAGTTGGAGTCGAGGTAATAGCGAGCAAGTGGCTCGTCTATGACTTTGGCTCTGGGCTCTCAGACTTTGGCTTTGGGCTTTGGCTTTGGCTTCGACTTTGACTTTGACTTTGACTTTGACTGTGGGAAGCCGGTTTTTCCCGCTTAACTGTTTAGCTAGCAGCAACGGCAGCAGGCATTTTTCTTTCCCAAGCGTGGCAAATCTGTTGGCTTTTCGTTACTTCAGCTTTTCCAACATTCTGCCATTTCATAATCGTCGTGGCTGTTCATCTTTGTCTTTGCGCTCT